TATACCATTTAAAGACATGTAAAAAAACCCCAAACATTGATGTGTTTGATATCAATGGTGCAACCCCAGACCCCACTGGGGGTGGGGGTTCTATATAAAATATAGCATATCCCATACACAAAAATAAACTCAAAATGGATAAAGAACTTAAACATAAGACAGGAAACCATAAAAATATTAGAGGAATCCATAGGCAGCAAAATCTCAGGCATATGCCGAACCAATATCAGCGCCTAGGGCAATAGAAACTAAAGAGAAAATAAACAAATGGGACTACATCAAAATAAAAAGCTTCTGTACAGCAAAAGAAACCATCAACAAAACAACAAGAAAGCCCACTGCATGGGAGAACATATTTGCCAATGTTATCACTGATAAGGGTTTAATCTCCAACATTTACAGGTAACTCATACAACTTAACAAAAGAAAGATAAACAACCCAATAAAAAAATAGGCAATGGACCTACCATTAAGTAGATACTTTTCGAAAGAGGACATAAGGAAGGCCAAAAGACATATGAAAACATGCTCAAAGTCACTAATCATGCGAGAGATGCAAATCAAAATGACAATGTGGTACCATTTCACACTTGTCAGAATGGCTATCATCAACAAATCAACAAATGACAAGTGCTGGCGAGGATGCGGAGAAAAAGGAACCCTTATGCACTGCTGGTGGCATCTACACAGTGGAATACTACACTGCGGTAAAAAAGAAGGAATTCTTACTATTTGCAACAGCATGGATAGAACTGGAGAGCTTATGCTAAGTGAAATAAGCCAGTCAGAGAAAGATAAATATCACATGATCTCACTCATTTATGGAATATAATGAACAACGTAATATAATAAACAACATATGATGAACAGAAACAGATCCTGAGGCAGAGAAGCATCCATCAGACCGTCAAACCTCAGAGGGAAGGTAGGCGAGGCTGGGGGTAAGGGGGAGAGATCAACCAAAGGACTTGTATGCATGCATATAGGACTAACCAATGGACATAGATAGACACCAGGGGAGTGAGGGGATGAGTGTGGGGGGGGGGAGGCGGAAGGAATGGGGGGATGAGTACTCAATAAAGAAAAAAATAAAATATAGCATATAACTTTTAAAACTATGAAAACTGAATTCTGAAATACTTCTGGTCCCAATGATTTTAGATATAGGATTTTAAACCTGTATTATCTCCAAACTATGGCTCTTTGGGCCAGATTTAACCTGCAGCCTGTATTTGTAAGTTCCGTGAGTTAAGAATTTTTTTAAATATTTTTAGAGAGTTGTAAAAACAAAGACAAAAATGAAGAATATGTGGCAGAGCCCTTTCGTGTCCAGCAAAACCTAAAATATTCCTCTCCAGCTCTTTTCAGAGAAGAGTTTGTTGACTTCTATATGTAATTGACTTTAGCCCTGACAGTACTTCACAGGAGTGACCGAAGTACAGCTGAGTTCTCTGGAATAAACTGAATCTAATCACAATTTATAAACTTCCTGTGAAAAATGTGGGAATGCGGTGGCTCAGGAAAATTTAAAGTACCCATCTCTAGCAATGGCAAGCCACCCAGTGAAGAGCATGTAGCTTTGTAAATATGCCACCTCGCCTTAAGAGCTTCTTGGCATGTGGCTTTCATGGGAAGGCAAATCAGTAGTTCAAGAAATAATTCTTTTTCTTAGAGAGGAATCCTATTGTGTTCCATAAATGAACTATATGTGTAGTCCTTGCCTTTTCACTTTTTTAAAAGATTTTTTTATTGATTTTTAGAGAGAGTGAAAGGGAGAGAAGGATGGAGGGAGGGGGGAGAGGGAGAGAGAGAAGGTGAGAGCGAGAAAGTGAGAGAGAGCACGCAAAACAGCGATTGGTTGCCTCCCACATGGTGTCCCGCCTGGGCTGGGGATTGAATCTGCAACCCAGGTACATGTCCTTGGCTGGGAATTGTACCTGAGACCCTTAGGGGCTAATGCTCTGACCACTGAACTACACCAACCAGAGCAGTCCTTACTTTTTCCTTTGTACTTTTCTATGTTGTCCCATTTAGAACTTAAAAAACAAACAAAAACAAAGTACATTCCAATAAGGATGATATTGAGGCACCAGTGCCTAATGTAAATAGAATTTGTGGGAACAGCCATTTTCTCCTAAAACGGGCTGTGAATTACCTGCCAGAACCCACATTCTTCAATGGGATGTTTACTTCTAGTTTGCTGGAAGGAAATCTTGGCAAGTGAAAGAATGAGGGCAGAGTTTCTCCTGCATTACACGTGTGTGGGTGATATAGAAGGAGTATCTAAGGGAACTAAAGAAGTGACCTATCACATCTTTAGTTCTCACTGTGGACCACCCACTAATGGAGTGTAACAGACTTATCTGAAGGTTTCATTTCTTAATTTTGCCTGAAGGCACTGATTTATTTGACAAATATTTACAATAATTATTACATTTATTTGTTATATACAAAGAAACTATAGGGTAAATACAGTTAGACAAAGTGAAAGAGAACAATAATTAAGATGGACTATATGTTCCAGTGTGCTCAGGGCTATCCTTGTCTATAACTGTGGTCCCAACACAGTCAAATAGGATTCCTTTTTTACTCTTGAAAGTATCCAGGTTTGGACATGAAATTATATGGTCATTTGTTTATAGACCTATCCAAGTTCACTTCCTAAACACTGTGGGACTAGCATAGGATTCAGAGTTATAACCTATTTCCTCCTGAAGCAGTGGCCAACGTCACTAGTGAGAACAATACAAGTGAGAAGTTTGGGTTTATAAGCTTTTGCACTTTATAGCACTGCACTTATTCAGACTTAGCTAGTGAATAATAAAGAAAACTCTTATATCAGGGCAAAATAGCCTATGCTAGCTTAGGAGCCTGGAACCAAATCTGGCAGGAGACAGGCTATGGTGATAGCCCATGAGAATGTGAGTGGGTGACTGAGGGCAGATGAAGAACAGACTAGATGCCTGGCACCCTTACATACTTTCTCCACTGACCTTATAAACTCAACACATTCTGATTATACCAGGGAAAATAAAATCAGATGCTGCTATGGACTAAGTCATAAAAAAATAGAAAAACAACTATAAAACAAAACAACAACAGTAGATCATAAACAAAAGTCTGCCTACACTGCCCACAAATGTTTAAACAATGTCCCATAAATAAAAGGGCAGCTTTTTCTCTGCCTACTCTTTTGAAAGACTTTCTCCTCAAAAGCCTTCAATGGTTGCTTAAAATAATTTTGAGTTATTTTACTATATTTTGCACTATAAAATGCAAAAGCTTATAAACCCAAACTTCTCACTTACCGTATTTGCCGGCGTATAAGACGATTTTTTGGCCCTGAAAAATATGCCTCCAAGTGGGGGGTCGTCTTATACGCCAGGTACACTTCAGATAGACTGCCCATAGTGCTTGCCCCGTGCCATAGTGGCCTCCCGATGCCCGCCCACTTCATTCCACATACCGTTCAGGCATCAGCAGCGCTGCTGGGTGT